TTAGTTCTATTTCATCTTCAAGCGAATTTTGGAGTAACTTTTAAAATTTACCGGGTTTTAAATACACAGCTAAAATCACGTTTCCATGGTTACAGAATATTCTACTCAAATTGAACACGGGGGTGTCTAGATTTTCCTTATGACAGTATCATTGTATCAGTTATTAGCTACATTTTGGTAAGGGGTGAGGATGTATTTTACACTGAAACCTGACGTCGTTTGAATGGATGTCGTCTGAATTTTTTTAAAAAAAAAAAAAAAAATTGTTAACGGTAAAAAAAATTTTTCAACGTCATCTTTTAAAATTAAAATTTTTTTTTTTTTTTTTCAATACTTTTTATTTAACTACGATTTGAAATATTTTCCTTTTTAATTTTTATTTTACTATATTCTTTTTTAAGAACAGTTAAATGTATTAGAATCCATTATATTATGTAGGATTATTTTAACATTAAGTTTAAGTATGTATATGAGGTTACATTTTTTTTTTTTTTTTTTTTTTTTTTGTATATGACTATGACAGCAGAAATGGTTTACTTAATTTCACTGATTCAGTAAACTTTTCTTTTATATATAAACCTATTATTATAATATTTCACATGTAAGTACTGAGGACATGGGTCATTCAAAAGCTTACATGTTATGGTATTTCATATTAATTTTATTTTACTATAGGTGTTTTTTTTGGATTCTTTTTAATGCGTGTAGTATTATTTAAAAGAAATTTAGGTTAGAATTCATTCAATTTAACTACAATTTTAATTACAAATTCAAAATTACAACTTTAAAATTTTAAAATATTTTCATTGTTTAGTTTTAATAGACTATATTACTTTATAACAGAAGGAAAATTACTCATATTAAGTAAGATTATTTTTCCATATCAAAGTATTTGTAAATCAAAGTTTTTTTTTTTTTTTTTTTTTTTTTTTTTAAATTTAAATATTATTTAAGTAATATTAATGGCACTTACTACAAAACTAGCTAAGTCATTTCTCAGATTTAGTAAACTTTATTTATTTATTAATTAATTAATTTATTTATTTCAAATATATATAACCTAATTAATAAAGTTTCATATGTATGTATAAATAACATGTTAGAATTCATTTTATTTTACTACAATTTTAATTTCAATTTTAAAATTTTAAAATTATAACTTTAAAATTTTAAAATATTTTCATTGTTAGTTTTAATTTAGACTATATTACTTTATAACAGAAGGATAATAATTACTCATAGTAAGTAAAAATTTTTTTTCCTATCAAAGTATATGTAAATTACAATTTTTTTAAACTTTAATTTAGATATTATTTAAGTAATATTAATGGCCCAGACTACAAAACTATCTAAAGTCATTTCTCAAAATTAGTAAACTTTATGTATTAATTCAAGTTTAAGTATGTATATGAGGTTATTTTTTTTTTTTTTTTTTTTTTTTTTTTTCTGATATATATATAAACCTAGTGATATAATGTTTCTCATGTAAAAACAAAGGACATGGGTCATTCAAAAGCTTACATCTTATGGCATTTCATATTAATTTTATTTTTGACTATATTTGCTTTTTTTTGATTCTTTTTAGTGCGTGTAGTATTATTTAAAAAAAAACTTAGGTTAGAATTCATTCAATTTAACTTTAATTTTAGTTTCAATTTTAAAATTACAAACTTTAAACTTTTGAAATATTTTTTTGTTAGTTATATTAGACTATATTAAATAACAGAAGGAATATTACTCATAGTAAGTAAAATTATTTTTTCAATATCCAAGTATATGTAAATTACAATTTTTAAACCTTTATATTTTAAAATATTATTTTAGTAATATTAATGGAACTTACTAAAAATTAGCCAAGTCATTTCTCGGATTTAGTAAACTTTATTTATTACTTAATTTATTTATTTATTTTAAATATATGTAACCTAAGTAGTAAAGTTTCATATGTATGTACCAAGAACAGGTTAGAAATATTTTAAAATTTTAAAGTTGTAATTTTGAATTTGTAATTAAAATTGTAGTTAAATTGAATGAATTCTAACCTAAATTTCTTTTAAATAATACTACACGCATTAAAAAAGATCCAAAAATAACACCTATAGTAAAATAAAATTAATATGAAATACCATAACATGTAAATTTTTGAATGACCCATGTCCTCAGTACTTACATGTGAAATATTATAATAATAGGTTTATATATAAAAAAAAGTTTACTGAATCAGTGAAATTAAGTAACCATTTCTGCTGTCATAGTCATATATAAAAAAAAAAAAAAAAAAAAAAAATGTAACCTCATATACATACTTAAACTTAATGTTAAAATAATCCTACATAATATAATGGATTCTAATACATTTAACTGTTCTTAAAAAGAATATAGTAAAATAAAAATTAAAAAGGAAAATATTTCAAATCGTAGTTAAATAAAAAGTATTGTAAAAAAAATTTTATTTTAAAAGATGACGTTGAAAATTTTTTACCGTTAACAATTTTTTTTTTTTTTTTTTTTTTTTTTTTTTTAAAATTCAGACGACATCCATTCAAACGACGTCAGGTTTCAGTGTAAAATACATCCTCACCCCTTACCAAAATGTAGCTAATAACTGATACAATGATACTGTCATAAGGAAAAATCTAGACACCCGTGTTCAATTTGAGTAGAATATTCTGTAACCATGGAAACGTGATTTTAGCTGTGTATTTAAAACCCGGTAAATTTTAAAAGTTACTCCAAAATTCGCTTGAAGATGAAATAGAACTAATGCTTTTAATTTATTTGCAAAAATAAAATTAGGGGTTTTTAGCTTCTATTTTTGAAACATGGTTGGAACTGTGTAGCGAAAATAACCATATTTTAAATCAATTAATTTATTATATATATATATATATATATATATATATATATATATATATATATGAAATTTCGCTTAAAATATGGAGGAAAACTTTTGATCAACAAAGACGTATGATATTCCTATATAAAACGAGTCGTAAATCCCATATACATCCAAGGAAAAGACTTTCATGGCTGAATAATGATGCTATGAATTATTAGGACCGAATGATTTTCGGGAAAATTTTGGAAAATGTTGAAAACTTTTGCATGATCGAGATAGATAGATAGATAGATAGATAGATAGATAGATAGATAGATAGATAGATAGATAGATAGATAGATAGATAGATATGAAGAAAATAAAAAAAGACAGTTAATGAAAATTTGGCGATAGATAGATAGATGAAAATGGAATAGATAGATTGATAGATATGAAGAAAATAAAAAAAGACAGTTAATGAAAATTAATAGATAGATGAAAATGGAATAGATAGATTGATAGATATGAAGAAAATAAAAAAAGACAGTTAATGAAAATTTGGCGATAGATAGATAGATGAAAATGGAATAGATAGATTGATAGATATGAAGAAAATAAAAAAAGACAGTTAATGAAAATTTGGCGATAGATAGATAGATGAAAATGGAATAGATAGATAGATAGATATGAAGAAAATAAAAAAAGACAGTTAATGAAAATTAATAGATAGATAGATAGATGAAATGGAATAGATAGATTGATAGATATGAAGAAAATAAAAAATATAAGTTAATGAAAAATTTTTGAGATAGATAGATAGATGAAAATGGAATAGATAGATAGATAGATATGAAGAAAATAAAAAAAGATAGAATGAAAATTTATGATAGATAGATAGATGAAAATGGAATAGATAGATAGATAGATATGAAGAAAAAAAAAAGACAGTTAATGAAAATTTAGATAGATAGATAGATGAAAATGGAATAGATAGATAGATAGATATGAAGAAAATAAAAAAAGACAGTTAATGAAAATTTGGCGATAGATAGATAGATGAAAATGGAATAGATAGATAGATAGATATGAAGAAAATAAAAAAAGACAGTTAATGAAAATTTGGCGATAGATAGATAGATGAAAATGGAATAGATAGATAGATAGATATGAAGAAAATAAAAAAAGACAGTTAATGAAAATTTTAAATTATAGATAGATAGATGAAAATGGAATAGATAGATATAGATATATATATAGATAATAAAAAAGATAGTTAATGAAAATTTGGCGATAGATAGATAGATGAAAATGGAATAGATAGATAGATAGATATAAAAAAAAAAAAAGACAGTTAATGAAAATTTTAAAAATAGATAGATATAGATGAAAATGGAATAGATAGATAGATAGATAGATATGAAGAAAATAAAAAAAACAGTTAATGAAAAAAATTTTTAGATAGATAGATGAAAATGGAATAGATAGATAGATAGATATGAAGAAAATAAAAAAAAAAAAAAAAGACAGTTAATGAAAATTTGGCGATAGATAGATAGATGAAAATGGAATAGATAGATAGATAGATATGAAGAAAATAAAAAAAGACAGTTAATGAAAATTTGGCGATAGATAGATAGATGAAAATGGAATATATAGATAGATAGATATGAAGAAAATAAAAAAAAGACAGTTAATGAAAATTTGGCGATAGATAGATAGATGAAAATGGAATAGATAGATAGATAGATATGAATAGAAAATAAAAAAAGACAGTTAATGAAAATTTGGCGATAGATAGATAGATGAAAATGGAATAGATAGATAGATAGATATGAAAGAAAAAAAAAAAAAGACAGTTAATGAAAATTTGGCGATAGATAGATAGATGAAAATGGAATAGATAGATAGATAGATATGAAGAAAATAAAAAAAAAGACAGTTAATGAAAATTTGGCGATAGATAGATAGATGAAAATGGAATAGATAGATTGATAGATATGAAGAAAATAAAAAAAAGACAGTTAATGAAAATTTGGCGATAGATAGATAGATGAAAATGGAATAGATAGATAGATAGATATGAAGAAAATAAAAAAATACAGTTAATGAAAATTTGGCGATAGATAGATAGATGAAAATGGAATAGATAGATTGATAGATATGAAGAAAATAAAAAAGACAGTTAATGAAAATTTGGCGATAGATAGATAGATGAAAATGGAATAGATAGATAGATAGATATGAAGAAAATAAAAAAAATACAGTTAATGAAAATTTGGCGATAGATAGATAGATGAAAATGGAATAGATAGATAGATAGATAGATATGAAGAAAATAAAAAAAAAAGACAGTTAATGAAAATTTGGCGATAGATAGATAGATGAAAATGGAATAGATAGATAGATAGATATGAAGAAAATAAAAAAAGACAGTTAATGAAAATTTGGCGATAGATAAATAGATGAAAATGGAATAGATAGATTGATAGATATGAAGAAAATGCATTTTTTTTGCGTCTTTCTTTGCAATCCAAAGAAAGACGCAAAATCCTACGAACTTTTTTTTACAAGAAAAAAAGAAAGCAAAAAAAAAAAAAATTAAAAAAATAGACGTTATCACAGCAGACGGTGTCTTGAAGAGCGTATAAAAATCTAATATGCGTGACGTAAATGACCCAGCCACTCGTAGCTAGGATGCTTGTCTACTAGAGTGGCTCGCTAATCCCTGTTGCAGACGTATACTCAGGCACAATTTGTCTTTTTTCAACACTCAAATAATATGCTGAGCGGACCTTAATTACGGTTTCTGGGAGAGTGCGCGTAATCTAGCGTGATCATTAGTCTGAAGAAGGCCAACACACTAAAACCCTCGGTCACGATGACTTGTTACTTAATGTTAGCACAGCTATCAACGGTCCCTGATAGTTCCGTCTACCAAGTTTTACTCACAAGGCGAGGGTCAGCCCGTGGATTATGGATTATAGTTTTCAGGTACTTTCCGAAGATGCCGTACGCTAGGATCGCCTAACACCAAGAAGTCACCTTCCTGTCAAATCGGTCATGTTGAGATTCGAACTCGGGTCTAATGGTCAGAAGGCAAACGTTCTAACCACTCGGGCAGGTGTCAAAAAACAAAAACGCTAACCCTAACCCACACCCCTGTTTGATGCCGTCTCGCTTCCTTTAACCGTGAACATTGACATCAGTGTGGAATGTTTTAAGCTATCAGCTATCTAAAAAAAACAGAAACAGTAGCAGCAACAACAACAACAGCAACAACAGCTGCAGCAATAGTAGCAGCAGAAACAACAAAAACAACAACAACAATAAAATAATAATAATAATAATAATAATGGTGTTCAGGAATGGAATGTTTTAAACTATCATCTATCTAAAAAAAAAACGTGCGTAGCCATCGGAATGTTGCCTAACACACGAACAGCACATGGTTCTTGATAATGACTGAAAAGTTGAACAATAAACGACAAAACAAACATGAACTTGGTTTATACAAAAATTTCGATCTCAGTATACCGTAATTCCCTCCGTGTATAATACGCAATTTTTCTTAAAAAAAAATAAGCAAAATTAGAGGTGCGTATTATACACAGCTGCAAAAAAAATCTTTAAAAAATTACCGTTTCATAGGTCGATTTCAGTTGCGAAATGACTACTGACCACAAACATACGACAATTTGACACTAACATTCGGCGATTGCGACCCCCATAAGGATTTCAAATACAATCATATGTACCTAACAATATTTACAAATGTAAAATAAAATAAGAATTATCATAAAATTAAATAAAATAATATTAATCTATGTTTAAAAACCATAAAAAAAAAACTACATACAGATCCGGTAGATTGTCCATTTTATCGAACATAGACACGTTAATGAGTCTGCGCAGTAGGCACAAGTATTTCCGTTTCCTTTTAGAATCGTGGTGATCGAAAACTTTTTTTTTTGATAAATATCTTTAATTGTAGATTGAATAAGAGTAGGGAGCGCTGGCTGTAATGAAATTGGAGAGGTACAATTTATAGGGTTTGATTACCAAACAAGGATTGCGTATTATGCGTGAGTAGAAGCATTTTCCCACATTTTCAGCACAATTTTAGGGATGCGTATTTTGGATGAAGGCGTATTATACATGGGGAATTACGGTATATATTATTTACATAAACATGAACACAAAACTTATGTTTTAATCCAATGGGGTTTCAATTCATTTTTCTTATTTATCGTTTATATTAACTTAAATATTAACAGGCAATGTATTTCCACGAGCCGCATATGCCTAGCATATATATATATATATATATATATATATATATATATGTGTGTGTGTGTGTGTGTGTGTGTGTGTGTGTGTGTGTGTGTGTGTGTGTGTGTGTGTGTGAAAATATATAGAAAATAGGAAAGAACTGGTTAGGTAAATAATCCAAAAAATCCTTAGTATTTAAATAATTATATTGAAGTTTTCGGGTCTTGTTTTAAAACATGAGACCTCTTATGTCGCGAGTTGGAATCATATTTTTAAATAAATATATATATATATATATATATATATATATATATATATATATAGCTAATTTTATCAAATTTTCTTAATTACACAGCGTCTCTTTCAGTAAATGCCCTTCAGTTTTAGTTTTCCCCGCCCCATCTCTCTCCCCTACCCCTTTTTCTTTTCTTTTCCTCTCCTTCCCTCTTCTTCTGATCTTTAAGATTAGATCGTCCATGGTGTGTGTATGTCACCACGAAATGTATCCTTTACGGTTACATCTTTAATGTATTGGACATCCGACAACATTCATATTTCCCTCACTTAAACCACTTCAACTCACCTCTCTAAAACTTCTCTCTGTTAAGGTTTAATCTCCCACATTCTCTCGTCTGTTACCCCTCTCTTTAGCTCTAACATTCGTCCCACACTCGCATACTTACATTTTCTCTAAATTCTATTTTTATTTCCGGAGTTTTTTTTCTGTTTTCTTTTTGAATTTGTATGTCTGATAAATTGGATCGTATTTACGATTCCAATGGAATAAATTATGACCATAGAATATTAGTATTTAAGCCTTTTTATTATTATTATATATATATATATATATATATATATATATATATATATATATATATATATTAAGCATTACGTCCCGAGCAAGGCGTGACGCCACTAGGATGCAGGGGGTTGCAGAAGATTCGAAGGAAGAACAGATAAGAGTGATAAGAGAAAGGATGAGGAGAGGAATAGTGGATAGATCAAGATGACTGGAGATGTCGATTGACATTACATTTGAAAAGTTGGAGATTATAGCTCTCAGGGAAACAGTAATTGGGAAGGGTGTTCCACTGGCGAGAGGTGCGAGGTATGAAGCTATTGGAGTAGAAGAGACAGCTACATTTAAAAGTTTCTACAGTGTAAGGGTGAGAGCGGGATGCCAGCCTCGTAGGGCGCTTGAAAATAGCAGGACAGACTGGCTTCTATAGCCTTGGATGGCAACTGGTCTAGGAGAAGGACAACTCTGAATTCAAAACCCGCGGAGGGTCGTTTGGGTACCTTGTGGCACGTAGTGCACCAGGTCTCTGTATTCGTCCCTTCAAAAAGTGTGGATGGTCCTACACGAAACCTTCACCACTATAATCAATTCTCATGTGCTGTTGTTGGGCTGTCGGTTTCTTTGGAACTGATTTGCTTGCCCCTCATATGTCGAACTCGACGGGAGAGTCGAGTATAGTATCAATTTGAAATACTATTTTGTAGACAATTTGAAATACTATTTTTGTAGACAAATTTCTGATTTTTCAGTGGTTTGCTGATAAGAAGGCCTTAAGTCAAGCAGTAGTAGAGTGCTCAATATCAAGACAGGGATAGAGCATTCATGTCCATGCAAATGAATATATATATATATATATATATATATATATATATATATATATATATATATATACAAAAGCTGTTTCGCTGTATCACAGCACCTCCATGTAGCTAGATATCCGATTGCGTCCAGCCAGGATGGAAACTCGACCAATTTGATATCAATCAGAGACTTTACTCCTAGGCTATCGGCGTACGGCAAACAAAAACGAATTTTAATGCATTATATACGTGCTATCTAAAGAATATACCGGTCGCCACACTTACGAAGAGCGATATATATATATATATATATATATATATATATATATATATATATATATCAGTGTATAATTTTGTGAACATATAATGTTAAAACATATCAAATACAGAAAAGAACTTTCCCTTCGAGCAGATTCCGTTTTCCTTCATATATTGATGGCTATTCCGTTTCTAGCTATGATTTTCTTCCTTTTTGAATCTCGTTATCATCATTTAGTGGATATGAGCACTGCTAGATGCTGGTTAATGTGTTTCATTATGAGTTTGTCCAGCATTCACTACCATATAGGAGGACTGATATAACGTTGGAGTTTCAATTCCAGTCGGGTTCGTTATATTCACATCTTCCCCCCAGCTATGGGTTAATTAGTAATACGTGTATCACTAAACCATTATTATCTCCCCAAAATTCTGACAATTCGAAAATAATTTCTGGTTTTGAATAACATGTATAGGGTTGATAAACCGTAGAATATGAGTCAATAATTTAATTTCTTTTAGATTTATTTACATTTTCTAGAATACAAATGTATAGAAACTACCGTTGCCACAAAGTGAGGGCTCAGTTTATATATTGATTGTAATGTGGAATTGATTCCCGACTTTATATCCACATTATCATTTCTTGATTGCTAATAAGGCGTAGAAAACTAATTAATCAATCATTGAAATACTGATTAGTTACACAGGCATGTCCTTTAGATTTATTTACAAAATCTGGAATATAAATGTAGAGAAAGAACCGTGGACGCAAAGTGAGGGATCAGTTTATATATAGGTTGTAATGCAGAATTGATCCCCCACTTTATATCCACATTATAAGTTCTTGATTGTTGACAAGCCGTAGAAAATGAATCAATCAATCAATGAAATACCAATTAGCTACACAGGCATGTCTTTTAGATTTATTTACATTCTCTGGAATATAAATATATAGAAATTAGAGTGGCCATGAAATGAGTGATCAGTTTATATGTTGAGTGTAATATAGAATTTATTCCCCACTTTACATACACATTACAATTTCTTGTTCGTCAAATTCTGATTAGGTATGAATCCACTTTTTCTCCCCCAACTATGGGTTGATTAGTAAGACTTGTATCGCTAAAACGATTATTATCATCTCAAGCCTAATGTTACAATTTAAAAATGTTCCGCCTTTAAATAATGGTTGATTAGAAAAAAAATTTAAATTAATTTACAGACCACGACCGCTATTAAGGAGATTTGATTAAATATACTTTAATGTTTAAAAATATATATATTCAATATTATTATTGTTTAGGTAATAAGCATTATAACAGCACAAATATTGTGGGAAAAGAATTTCCGATAATATACGCATATTTTACGTATTTATGGCTATTTTTTTCTAACTTTTATCAAAAACGACATTTTGTTATGGATAATATTATACATTAATTACGAATTTTTTTAATTAATAACTATTTGTGCTCAGTTGTTGACATTAATAGCTATCTGCTGATATGTTAAAATTTTGGACTAATGCAATAATAACATTTAAATTTTATCTCTGATAGATGTCACGATCTGTTATATTTTTTTTTTCTGTTTCTTAATACGTTGCTTAGCTTTCGGAAAGCCTCTTTCACTATCTAAATGGATCTACGGGTTTTCATTTAGGCAGTGACTAAAAGCACTCACAGTAAAAAAGTTCAAAGATATCCCTAACATGATAAAAATGATGGAGCCTGGAATATTTGAGTTAAACAGATCCATGCTCTAAATCTCTTCCACTTTCTTTATCGGCAACACATTTTCTCTGAAAACGTATTACTAATATAGGTAATTACTTTAGTTTGTCAATTAACTGTAATTCGTCATTTACAAATATTCTTTTTTATCGATCTTTTTCATCGGCTTCATTGACGTTGAAGAATCTTCGCAATTCGTATTCTCACTAATTATGTATAAAGTGTAGTCTGCCTAGAGACTTTATTAGACCGGCGCCAAAGGAATTTGTTAATAGATATTAAGGAATTACTAAATGTATATTTGCTAATAGGCAATGATTGATATGATACTTGTATACAGGAACCTCTTTACACATGCTATTATCGCAGTTTTTTCTCCCTTCTCTTTCGTCCTGGAACGCTGGGATTTCATTTTAGTTCTTTCTCTCTTTATGAATTTCTTTCTCCTCTTTTAACTTTATATATACAGTCAACGACAAAATTATTCGTACACCTATCAATTTTGAATATTTTTTAACCATTTCTCAGAATCTAATGCCCGTATGATGTCGGATATTGTTCGAATAAAAAAAAACCTTCAGGGACGTTTAAACATTGAACTATGGGAGAAAATCACATAAAAACTTGTTCAAATTTCATTAAAAACTTTAGAAAATGAATGAGCTTTTTGGATATAGTGATATGCAGGAGATTTAGCGTAAGAAAGGTGAGACTTTCCTAGCAAAGAACACAGTGGCAACATTAAAACATGTAGGCGGCTCGATGATGTTTGGGGTTGTTTTAGCTCAAGGGAGACTGGGCAATTAATTGCTATAAGACAAATAATGAAATCTACAGACTATATCAAAATTCTTTATGAAAATCTACAATTATCAGCGCAAAATATTCATCTAGGTCGACAATTTACTTTACAGCAAGATAATGATCCCAAACATACGTCTAAACCCGTGACTGTGTGGATTCAGAAAAAGAAGATTACAGTTTTGCCATGACCTTCAATGATTCCTGACTTGAATCCTATTGAAAATCTATGGTAAGAACTGAAAATTTGAATAAATCGTTAGTCACTAAAATACTTCAGGACATTTGAAGAATGGAAGAAAATCCCAGAAAAGTTTTGTTCAAATCTGATCAAAAACTTTAGAAAACGATTGCAGCGAGTTATAAAAAATGAGAGGCCATGATATTGACTACTAATATTGTGAAAAAAAATTTTCTATTTTTTATGCTATACGAATAATTTTGACTTATCCTATTTTGCATAATTCGCCTGCCAAATTTGTATTTGACCTATTGTTCTGAAAATTGAGTTTTATATTCCTTTTTGTGCTTATTTACATATAATAAAATCTGGTATCATACGGGCATTAGATTCTGAGAAATGCATAAAAAATATTCGTGGAGTACGAATACTTTCGTCGTTAGTCGCGTTTGTACACTTTAACTCGATGTATACATAATGGCCTGGACACTCGTATACGAGGCTGCCAGTCTCCTAAAGCGGATAAGGTAATACCCATTACAGAAGCCTGCTCAGGTACATTTGTGTTTGTTCAACACCGACAGAGCCCACCTGTGTTTAATACTGCAACTATAATGAGCGGACCTTAGTTACAGTTTCTTGGGGAGAGCGTGTTATCTAGCTTTATCAACAGTTTGAATAAGGCTAGCACGCTCACACCCTCGGTCACGATGACTTGTGACTTCGTGCTACCACAACAAACTACGTCTCCCAAGGGTTCCGCCTACCCAATTTCACTCAGTAGGCTTGGGTCAATACGGAGTGTGGTTTTCAGGCACCTTCCAAAGGTGCCGCGTGGATCATCTTCCTGATCGATAACATCAAGACGTCACCTTAATGATATATCGACCATAGTGAGATTCGAACCTGGGACTCACGATTAGAAAATGAACGTTCTCTCCACTCGATAAACGAACGTTCTAACCACCCATAAACACACACACACACACACACACACACACACACACATATATATATATATATATATATATATATATATATATATATATTACACATTATGAAGTCTGACATACAAGTCCGACAATTATTTTAATATATATATATATATATATATATATATATATATATATATATATTTGGTTGGATAGATGTGAGTTTGTGCCCCTGGGTTTCACGCTTTAGCGATCGTCGTTTGTCTGACGATCGCTAAAGCGTGAAACCCAGGGTCAAAAACTCACATCTATCCAACCCAATATGTTAGCTCTATTTCTGATATTGAGCGCTTTCTAATAAGTACCACGCATATAACATATAAATAATTATACATATATATATTTATTTATATTTATATACACTTTTCACACACACACACACACACATATATATATATATATATATATACAAATATATATATGCAAATAAGAGAAAGAACAGTCAGATTAACAATCCACAATGCTTTAGCATAAAACGTTCTAAATATTTTGTGGCATTTAAAAGAAACTAATACCCCCCACAGTCAAATGGAAATTATTAAAAAAAAGAAAACTTGTAGATCATTAAATGACACATGTTCTCTATGTCTACATGAAAAGTTATATATTAAATTTTTTTAATGATAGAGATTTATTAAATCAACAAAAGAATTAACTGTTTTTGTAGACATTGTGTTATTTTCACATTCAAACATAAGTAATAAGATTTTTTATAAAAAAATCTATACTTTAAAATTAAATATCTATTATTTTATTACATATAGTGTCACAAAAAATGGGTGATTTATTCCATAAATTTTAATTTCGTCATTGCCGTGTCTAATGTACCAATAAATATAATAAGTATTGCATTTTACGTCATGTTAATTGTATAATATATATATATATATATATATATATATATATATATATATGATTAAATCATAAAAAAAAAAACTTTAAGACAGCCTAAAATATAAAAAAAAAAAATAAATGCTAAAATCAAGCCATGGCTCGATACATACACGCCTCTGCATTTCAGTGTACCTTATACATGTTCGAAAAAAAAAAAAAGAAAATAAGGATAACACGTCTATTACAAAACTGGCAATTCTGGACAAACGTCTAACCAATAATTTTAACTTTTCCAATTTAACTTAGATTTCTATTTTGATTCGACAAAAAAAAAAAAAAAAAGACACAACCCATAATAAAAATCTGAAATTTCATTCCCCACTCCCTTCAATATAATTCTACTTCGCTTGCAAATGTAAATCATTTTTTTCGGAAGTTATTCATGATCGCTTGAAAATGGAACAATAATTTTTACTTTCAGTTCCGAAACATAGAAATTTCTGTGACGCGATAAAATATTTAAAAAATATTTCAAATAATAATATTGCAATTGTATATATATATATATATATATATATATATATATATATATATATAATAAAATTTACTTTTTAGAATATTTTATCATCGCGTCACAAAAATTTATATATATATATATATATATATATATATATATATATAGATTATTTATATAGGTACATATATATATATATATATATATATATATATATATATATATATAGATAGATAGATAGATAGATACAAACTTAGATAGGTATAAATATATACATATATATATATATATACATATATGGATAGACAGAAAGTTAGATAAATATAAATATATACATATGTGTATACGTACATATATATTGTGTGTATTTAAGCAGCATTTTTTCATTCATACATGTATAATATAGACAAGTGTTGTCTATTTATTTTTTATTAAATTCTTTTCATAACGTCTGAAATTATCATTAAAAACGAAGAAAGAAAATCACGATATTGATCCATATTTTTTAATCCAATCTAAGCTTTCGGCTTACATAAGCTATTATCAAAGATAACAATTACAGTACAATATATTAAGCAATACACGGACAACAATGTGATGATAGTATGTGATTGTTTACATGGATGATTTCCAAGCAACGATAAACACGTGCATATAAGACGCTAAAAGAGAAAATCGCACCGCAGCTCATGACGTCACACATGACCACATGGGAGTGAATAATCTCCGTGAGTCTATGTGTAATTTCCTCCAGTTAGTCCGAGGTAGTTATAGCCATTATCTTTCTCGGACATTCAGGCCGGTAAATGTTATTTAATGCTGTTTATTATAAACAGAGCATTTACTTAAATATTTGGATCTATAAAAAGAACGTATAAACATAGAAATGTCTTAATATATATATATATATATATATATATATATATATATATATCCGAATGTAATGAGAAGGTAAATTATACATAAATTCTAACGTTCACAGCATTAATTTAAAAAGGGGCTTAATACCGATAGTAGAGCAATAATTATTTATTATGTTTTTTTCATATAGACAAAAACAATTTTTGAAGTTCCTCCTTCATTCCTCCCACCTTTCCTCTTCCACCCCTCACTTTTGGAAGGTTTGGAAATGCTATGCCTAAACCCTTGACCGTTGCTGTCGATTTAAATTTTTCAGGTCGAGCCATCATCTTAAGACCACAACAATCCTTCACCAAACTGCTATCAACAAGAACTATTGTCTCATTCTGTCAGGCTTTTCTATCTTTTCTTTATTCTTAGACGATCCCTCTTAAAATATATTTTTTTTTTCTTATTTTCAAACAAATATCAGGTCATCCCATAAGTTCTGTCCGAATTTTGAATAAAGAAAACAAGTGACCAAATGTTACATTTAATTACAGATTCAATCAACAATGTATTTTCCCTGATTATCTATGACTTCCTTCTATCTATTAACAAGCTTTCTTATTCCATTACTGTAAAATTCTTTTGGCTTTGATTCGAAAAACTCACAAATGTCAGTTTTAACCTCTTCCTGTGATGCAAAATGGTAGTCTGAAGGAGCAAGATCCGGAGAATAAGGTGGATTAGGAATTTCTTTTTCTTATTTTCAAACAAATAGATAAAAGAAAGTGACATACCACGAGCGGGCTGCTTACAAACAGAATTGTTCGTAAGCATTTTGGTTCTCACCAGTCGAGGTGCAACTAAACGCACCAAAACGAAGTTGCTTCATTGTAGTGAATAAATTGTTTTTGTCTATAATATATATATATATATATATATATATATATATATATATATATATATATATATTTATTTAAAAAAATATGATTCCAACTCGCGACATAAGAGGTCTCATGTTTCAAAACAAAAGCCGAAAACTTCAATATAATTATTTGAATTAAATTGAGTTAAAGTAAGCTCTGTTCCATATTCAAGCGAAATTTTTTTTAGAATAAGGTATTTCTGAAATTTATGTGTTTTAATAATTGAAATCAAAATTTCCATGGTAACAGCTAGGGCGAATTGTTTAAATTGGGTAGGCGAGTGTTGGGTGTTTATAATAAGTATCAGTATAGAGTTACTTTCATAGATGTCAAGTCATGGAAAGGTGGGGGTGTCTAAATTTGAAACGGAAGATGTACTAACCCTCGTCTAGTTATATATATATATATATATATATATACATTAATTGAAAAAAATATGAATTAACTCGGACAAACTACAAATTGTAGATTAGTGATATTTAGACATTTCTTTTTCGTGAAACTTGTCAGAATCGAAAAAATATTGATTTGTTATCGATTTAGAAGGTCGGTGTGCTCTCTGTAATATCGATACAGTATAAAATTGATCCCTGCCTTTTATAATTTTATCGAAAATTCACAATTTGCTCACAAATGTCAAGTTGGAAACTTCATCAAAAAATAGACTTTTTTGGAGAATTGATGTGACAATAAGCGACGTTATTGAAAAATGCCGTGAAATGAAGAAATAAAGAAAAAAATGACAAAATAAATATGAATTAAAAACTCCCTTTTATGTGCCATGTCTATTCAGCAAGTGGATGATCATGGTTCACCACGACTTCCTTTTTTATCTCTCTTAAGGAGCCGTCGTATAGATGAAAAAATTTCAACAAATATTACAAGAGCTAAAAAATACACTTTATGGGGAGATGTGGGAAATATAACAGTTAACTCTAGATTCGAATAGATTAAGATTGTAGTGATTGGGGAAGCATCATCTTGGGAGTCAGTTCCATAGGGAAGTGGTTCGCGGGAAGAATCTGTTAGAGTGGAACTTACTTCTCACCAATGGGTAGTTTATATGGATAGGAG